AGCCTTGATGTATTTGCAAACTACAATAGGACTACATGTCTGTGATCCTTTGGTAGTAAAGAGGAAAGAGGGACTCCTAAGAATTACTTGAGAGCTAATTCTAAGCCTCATATTTCCTCCCCAATAAATCATTATTTTATAATTATTAGTTGAATACTCCAGCTGTTTCCTTTACAAGAATACTGTATTTTCACGTGATAACATACTCTTGTAAAGAGCACACACAAAGGAAACCAACATGGGATAGGCTGCATGGTATGCAAATACCACAGCAGTAATTTGTAATTCAATTTAATATACACTTGAATACTGCTTATAATGAATGGAATTCCACATTCTTCTGTTGGTGATGGGATATTATATAATAATAGCTTGTACTAGAGCATGCTCATTAATGAATGACATTCTTTTACTATCCATATTCTCACCGTGCTTTTCAATACAGACTTGTTGCATGTTGGTTTTCTAAGTACTTGGAGAATGAGCTACCAAGTGCTGTTGGCACCACGTTAAGTCATGTAAATTATGAATGTATTTGAATATAATTGTCCAAACTGCCATCGAGTTCATTCTGTCTTACAGTGACCCTGTAGGACTCCATCAGATTTCAAAGGCTGTATGTCTTGATATGATCAGACAGCCTCATTTTTCTCCTGTGGAGTGGCTGGTGGATTCAAACTCTTGAGCTTGCAGTTAGCCGCTCAGTACATGAGCCACTACACTATTCTGACTTCAAATATGTGAGTTTGTAATTTGGAAGACAATTTGAGATTTTCCTGACCGCACTGTGAATTTTGGCCTTTTTTTGGGTGCGATTTGTATGTTTTTCTGGTCACTTATCTGGGTGGGAAGATGATATTTATGTTCACTCGGCAAGCCTGAAGTTTAAGACACCATTTTGGGGCAGTAATCTAGATAAGAAGTAGAGAAAACTGGAACTTCGGCATTGTGTAGAGCAGATTAGAAAGAGATTTAGGAGCTAGAATTGGTAGTATGTAAATGATAATTAATTAGGATTCCTAAGAGTGTAGGTATTTGGAGGATTTAATATTGAACCGCCCGCGCCGCCCCCCATGAGTCTGAATTGACTGAGAATTAAGACAAGACATAGGAGCCATCAGCTGAAGAAACTAATACTCTTGGCCACTGAACATCACAGGAATTAGGGGGCACTCACCCACCCTGAGCAGTTGAAAATCTAAGTATACCTTTGAGTCCCCAAAACTTTTACTAAAAGCCCACTACAGTCTTTTAAGTTTTTTATTGACATAATGAATTATACCTTTGTAAAGTGTTCAATTTAGTGGGTTTTAATATACGAGAGGGCTTCAAAATTTTCTTGGGAAAATTGTTATTTTTTGATTCTTTGGAAGTCTCATATTCACAAGGCTGTGCAATCATCACCACTATCCAACACCAGAGCGTTTTTCCCAACTCAAAAAGCAGTTAGTTCCCATGACCCCTCCCCCATCTGTTGGCAACCACTAATCTTTTTGCCTCTGTAAGTTTGCTTATTCTGGACATTTCATATAAATGGAATCATGTAATTTGTGTCTTTTTTTTCATGCAGCATAATGTTTTCAGGGTTCATTCATGTAGCAGTTCTTTATTCTCTTTTTATGGTTAAACAGTGTTCTGTTGTGTGAGTATCCCACATTTTGCAATGCCATTCATTAGTTGATGGACATTTGATTTTTTGAAAAATGATTTTATTGGGGGCTCTTATAATAATCCATACATCAATCGTAGCAAGCACATTTGTGCATTTATTGCTATCATCATTTTCTAAGCATTTTCTAAAGCTCCTCTTTTCCTTCCTTCCGCCACCCTCTTGAACCTTTGATAAATTATTATTGTTTTCATATCTTACACCGACTGCTGTCTCCCTTCACCCACGTTTCTGTTGTTCTTCCCTTTGGGGGTTATACGTTAATTCTTGTGATCAGTTCCCTCTTTTCTCCCCCTTCCCCTCCCACTTTCCCCTACCCTTTTGGTATCACCACTCCCATTTCTGTACCTGAGGGGTTTTTCTGTCCTGGATTCCATGTGTTGAGAGCTCTTGTCTGTACTAGTAGAATTGTTTTTACTTTTTGGTTATTAAGAGACTAGGGATATTTATAGAAAAGTCATTCCTCAGAAACTAGGAGGTGGAATGAAGTATTCTGCTATAACAAAGAAATAGGAAGGGATTAAGCCCCAAACCCGGAAGCTGTTCTTAGATGAAGGACATTGCCATTTTATCAAAATGGGGAGATACACATTTAGGGAAAATGATGAATTTACTTTTTGGACATGGTAAATTTAGGATAGTCTATTGAGAATGTTAGATACTTATATTTGAAGAATAGGAAGTTGAACTGGGCGCAGGGGTTCTCAAACTTTGTGAACAGGGGGCCAGTTCACTGTCCCTCAGGCCCATTGGAGGGCCAGACTATAGTTAAAAAACAAAACAAAACTATGAACAAATTCCTATGCACACTGCACATAACTTATTTTGAAGTAAAAAAAACCAAAACGGGGCAAAAACACCTGGCGGCCCGATAAATGTCCTCGGCGGGCCACATGTGACCCCGGGCTGTAGTTTGAGGACGCCTGGGCTAGAGACATTGATTTGCGATCCATCTGCATGCAGGTAATTAAAACTAGTGGTTGTAGTTGTTGAAATGGTTCTGACTCATGGTGACCTATGGTAACATTGAAACCTTGCCCTGGCCTGTGCCATCTTCATGAAAATTACTGGGATGTGTTGTCCATTGCTGATTCAATAAGGTTCTATCAGTCCATGTCATTGATCTTTCTTCATTTTCATTGGCATTCTACTAGCCATGGTGTTCTTTGATTGGTCTTTTCTGATGACATGCCCTGGGTAAGTGAGTCAATAAAACATAGGGTCATCATGAGTTAGAGTTGAAAAAAAACAACAAACCAAAAGCACATCATCTTCATTTCTAAGGACTTTCTGGTATTTCTTTTTAAGTCTGATTTAATGGTTCTGTTGGCCATCCCAAATCTGTTTGACTATGTAAAATCATCCATAAAATAAAACTGAAAAGATGTCTAGTAATTCTATGTCTGGAGCCTTGGGGGTTTTGAGTTTGTCAGGTGATGGCCCTGCTGTCTCTTGCTTGTGGTGACTTGTTTCCTTCTGAGTTTTGTGATTTTTGTTTTGAGTTAATTTGTTTTGGAATCTAATTAGAGTTCTTTTAGGCCTACATCAAAGGTGGGGCTCCCCAGGGAGAATTTGCATTTGCTTCTGCCAAAATTAAATAGGTACTATCTAGGTGTCAATCTAGATTGACAATCTGTTTATGGTTGTGAAATATCAGGGGCCATACTGCTCTACTGCTGCCAAAACTCCCCTCACACTCTGTTAGCATTACTGTGGTTAAGAGACAAATTGAAGAGATAGTTTTTCTTACAGTTCTCTTGGGTAAGGCTTGGACTTTGCCTCTTTTTCCCTAATTCCCAAGAGGCCTTGCAATTGCAAGTTCATATTCATAGTTTGGCAAAATGCCCTGAAGGTGAAAAAAACGTGGCTACAGCTCTCTCTCATTTCATTCTTCTGCTTAGTTTTCACTTTCTGTCAGGTACTGGCTTCACTTACAAAGATTTAAATATACTATATCCAGCATGTTAGCGATTTTATGGCAGGGTGACTTAGCCATCCATTCTTTCATACTGGCAGAAATATAAGTATCTGTTTTTCTCTTTAGAATATGCAGGGAGTTCAGTCAGCCTCTACACCAAAAGCTATAAACTGGGGACCAAATCCAATGTTTCTCTTGGCCCACATACTATTTAGAAATTAAAGTCTTGTGATTTCAAATAAAATTTTGGATTTATGGTTTTTCTTGAAAAACTGGAAGTTCTTATAATATTGGGCTTGCACTTGGTTCTTCCCGGAACTGGGAATAGCAGCTGATCTCTTCAGATGGAACATGCGCTCTCTCTTTCCTTACCATCTCCTTCAGTCATATAATGTATGCATGCGTATATGTACATTGGCATGCATTCCAGCTTTTCTCATTTATGTTCTCTGTAGGCACTTGTGGAGCTTCCTTGGACCTATTGACCATACTGACATATTATCACGGGTCAGGATTAGTGATAATAGACATACATCCACATTAGTTTTTTATTTAACGCTAACAATAAATCTGCCATTTATCCCAAATTAATAAAGTTATATAGGTGACATTATCCCCAAATTATAGATAAGGAAACTGAGGTTCAGTGAGGCATATACGTTCTTTAAGGTCTCATTGTGTTACAGAATTTGCATCTAGAACTGTTTTATGCATAGCCTTTTTTCCCTTGCTTCAGCCCCTCCCCCCTTTATTTTTTTAAGCAGTGGAACTATTCTTTAGATAAAAATCTTAGGTTCAATATATGAAATCAGTAAGGGGAACAAATGTGGTGAATGCACAGCTCTGTGGTAGTTTAGACACTTCCCTGGAATCCCCTTAATTTTACTAAACATTTTACACATTCTTTCTCTGTACCAGGAACCATAACCATTTTTTAGATTTTATGAGGCCTCTGCTCATGTGGTTGTAACATTCTTCAAACTAAACAAAACTCAAACCCACTGCCATTTAGTTGATACCAACTCATAGTGACCCTGTAGAGTCGAGTAGAACAGTCCCTGGGGGTTTTCTTGGCAGTAAATCTTGATGAGAGCAGAAGGCCTCACCTTTCTCCCATGGAATAGCAGCGGGTTTTAATTGCTAACCTCGAAGTTGGTAGGTAACTCAGTGCATAACTCACTGCACCACCAGGGTTCTTCGTTACGCGTAAGCTCTATGTCTGGTCTTCCTTTGTAGAATCCATTTCTTTACCTAATGGCATTTTTGATTCGTGTGGTTATGTGTTCAGATAATGGTAATTCTTTTAACCATTTAGTTCTATTTTTAGAGTGTTTTAATCAGAATTGTAGTGTGATTAATAGTTTATTTATTTTGGAGCATCTAATAACCAATTCTCTTCTTATTTTCAGTTTCTCTTTGTGGCCAGATGGGTTTGTATGGACAAGCTTGTCCATCTGTAACTTCATTAAGGTAAGTAGGCTTCATTTTTCTTCATTGGAACATGCAATTTTAAGTAATATTGGTCAGATCATACGACAATGAATTTTAGGAGGTGCATAAAATATAGTTTCTTTGGTCAAATAGTAGTATGGTGGGTATTGGGAGCTATTTTTGCTTACAAAGAATTTGAAAAAAAATTCATAATTGGATTTGTATCTGAAACCATTCCCCCACTTAATGAACATGCTCGTTCATTAAATAACATATTTTTACACTTTGTCATTCTTTTTTTCTTTTTAACTAATTTGCTCTCATGTCTTAGTTAGAAAATACATAATTAATTTTTAGCATGTCATTAAATTGCACTTTGAGATAATAATTTTGAATCTTTTTCTAAAGGATGATGAACACATCATGCCCAAATTACCCACTCTTAAAATAAACAAACCATGTAAAATATACAATGTAGGAACTAAGTAGTTGTATCCAACCCAGTGCTTTCAGATTTTTTGAAGTCTCCAGACCTCTACAAATTGAATCTTATCTGACGTCCAGCAAGTAAAATCAGTAAATGAGAGATCTTCCTGCTTTTTTTAGACTTCAGTGCTCTACATTCAAGTGAATCCTGAGGAATCACTAAGTTTCCACAGAGCACAGTTTGAAAAAGAACATAAGTCTGATCATAATCGAAATCTTTCAAACTAGATTATGAAGTGTTATAACCAGCCATCATTGTATATTCAATATATTGATTACCTACTCTGTTTCCATATATTGTCCTCAAATGCTTGGGGTACCACAGCTAACAAAGCAGACAAAAATCCTAGAAGCATGGAGCTTACATTCTGATGAAGGATAATAAATAAATAAAATAAGTAAAAAGGAAGAAATAAATAAGGTTGTGACAGTGATAAGGCTAAGGAGAAAAATAAAGTAGGAAAGTATGGGAGGGTATGTTATTTTAGTTAGGTTAGCCAGGAGCAGTTTCTCCGAAAATGTGACACTTGAATGAAAACCTGAAGAAGTATTGGAATGCTCATTTTTCACATACCAGCATTCCAGGCAAAGGAACTCGGGAAATACCAAGAAAAGCTTTTGTATAGTCCTGAACAGTGAGGAAGTCATTGTTTTTGGAACTGAGTAAATGATTGAAAAAAAAAAAGTGGATTGCTTACTTAGCTTTGGAGGGAAAAAGAGAAGAGAGGGGAATGTGAAATCAAGGAATTCTTAGACTTGAAAGACATTCTATTCATTTAGAATATTACAAAAGACAAATGAAACAATGGAATTGTCTTTTTTTATGAAGAAAAAAGTTTCTTTGTAAAAAAGTTTCTCTGTGTGCTATTAAGACATTTCTTCCATATCATAATGGAAATAGATTTTATATTGGGATTCTTCTAATGGAGAGATTGCTTTTTTACTTGGCTAGGGTTTTTCCTCTCTGTAGTTCAGAAAATAACCTTATTTTAAAGAAAGAAATTAAATCTTTCATTTTTAAAACTTCTCTAGGACTAACTTGACTTAACAGTGATTTCTGCTTAGTATGAAGGGGGACATCTTTACCTTTTGAGGGATATTTAAAACTCGAGGCATGGTCACATCAGGATAATTTGCAGACTTAGATCTTCCTTGGATTGAACGGTATAAAAGATAATTTAGTTGTAAAATATGCTGGATTAATTATTAATCTGATATTTTAAACTTTATTTGAATATCATGTTTAGGTTAAAACTGTGAGGGACATTGGGTTAGGGATAACATGCCCAACTTTTTTGCTTGATGGAATTATATAGAAGAAATACCATGAATTATTCCTTAATATGTTCACTGTGTGTTTTAATTCTTGCACATCATATTCTAGAATCAAAAATTTTTTTATGGATATAGGTACAAATTTAGTATTGATAAACTTCTTAACTAGTTTGAATCCTGATTTTTAAAAAATATATATATACATTTGTTGTTTCTGCAGTATTGTGTATGATTCATCCTCACATGTTTAGGGAGGATCATTGTCCTGAGGTTTCTAAGTAGAAGACAGCATTGATTTGAGATAGGGGAGAGCAGAGGAGAATGGTTATTTTGGTGAAATAAACTGTATTACTTAAAATAAAACCACAATAAAATTTAGTTTGCTTCTTTCCCATAGATTCTCTCCCAAACCAGAAATAGCTTTCACAACTACACTCCCCAGTAATGAGATGCGAGCCAGAACTCAGGCTGAAGTGTTTGCACAGAGACTACATGTAAAGCTTGCCTGTGTACTTGCCTCTTTAACGTCTATTCTTTGTTTGAGGGAACTTCAAAAGTTCCTGAAAAATCCATTATCTTTTAATTCCATTTTCCCATGAGCATTCTGAAGCTCCCTTATATGCCTAGAAAGTGTCCAATCTTGAGGCAGGAAAGATATAAGTTGATGAATAAGTAGGCATGGTTGGGAATGAGTAAATGATAAGGCAGGTGGGGGTTTGTATGCAGATAGGTAAGAGTGGAGTAGATGAAACAAACTTATGGGTAATTAAAGGTAAGAAGGGCAATGAAGGTAGATAATACATTTAAATAACTTGGTGGTACCTCATGGTCCACATGGCCTCCAAGGAGTGAGAGCCCCCCTGGACCACCAGCCCCAGCAACAGCGCTAGAGGAAGAGAGAGAGGCCCTCAGCTGCTGGGGAGTCTTTGCCCCTAATTCAATCCCCCAACACACTGAGAATATTCCATCCAGACCCCTGAAGGAAGGGGAGGGGCTTAGAAAACTCGACCTTGTCATGTACCATCAATAAAGTACACTATACCCAGAAAAAAAAATAATAACTTGGTGGATAGGCGAAGTGGTTATAAAGTGAATTAAAACTCCTGGTAGAGCCCAAATATTTAGATTAAACAAATTAGGTATTGTTTCCATTTGATAATGTTTCAGTCTAGTTTTATCTGAATGTGTTTAAGTTTAATCTAATTTAAGATTGTTTTAAAAATTACACTTACAGTATTTTTTAAAAATCATTTTATTAGGGGCTCATACAACTCTTATCCCAATCCACACACACATCAATTGTGTAAAGCGCATTTGTACATTCATTGCCCTCATCATTCTCAAAACATTTTCTCTCTACTTAAACCCCCAGACTTACATC